TGAACATTATTTATTTATAGGGCTTAAACAAGGTTACATCTCCTTCCTTTCTATGATGTACATTCTATCCTTTAGTGCCTTTAATTTTGTCCTACTTTCCTCTCACCTCTATCTTTGGTGATTTGTGTTAAGTCCCTCTACTCCACTACTTTCTGCTGTCCCCTTATCCATCTCTCAACAAATCTTGAGTTTTTGTATAACTTTCACAAAGGTCCACACTGTGAAACAAACACTGGCCTTTGGACTGCTTTTAGGACAACATAAATAGAGACACTGGGACTGTCTGTCGATGTCAGCCAGCTTTATAAAGCTACGTTTTGTATTTACAGTAAAGCAGATGGTAAGTAAAACGTCAATATCGCAAAAGGTCACAGCATGCCAAACAAAAGGCAATTAAACCATCTTATTTAATTGAGTTACTAAGCCAGAACATGACTTCCAAGCGAACATATTTTCCTGCCCCCTCCCACATTCCTGCTTCCCCCCGAGCTTCCTCCACTCTCCTTTCCTCCTCCCAGCATCCTCCCCAGTCATTTTCTGCTTATTGAAGAGTCTCTCTGTCAACCTTGTCCCATCTAATTCTCCCCCAATTACAATCTAAATGAACCACAGGAATGCTTAACTTGCCTTGCGTCTTCCATTTGTTTAATTTGTGACGGTAACAAACGCTGATTAGTGCACGGTAAAGGTTCATGAATTAAGCGCTCAAGGCCCAATTAATCACCATTCCCATGGAAGATAAATGGGAAACATTCAATTTCCCCATATGGATCCAAATGACAACAATAACAACAGTGTGGAAAGAATCTCAATGACTGCATATTTTCCAGAGCGTAGCATTTTGACTACGGGTGGCTGTGCATCACCAGCCAGTGAAATGTCACTTACTGAGAATTTCTGTCTAAGCTAGCTGAAAACCTTTAGATGCATTTGTTATACTAAAGCAATTTTCACTACTAGCATCTCCGTTCCAGAGGTAGAAGTGGGCCAATCTGATTAATGTCATTGTCTCAACGTGAGGAGCATAGACACCACATTAAAGGGTTTACCAAAGAGGGAGAGAATGAGGGAAAATAAGAAGTACAGAAAATGAAAGGAAGGGTGGAGAAAAACATACAAAAAAAACATTTTATAGGAACAAAAAGGAGAGGGTAAACTAAAAAAGAAATTAACAATTGAAAGTAGGGGAAACGACCAGCCAAAGGGTGTGGATACAGACAATCCCAAAGAGCTACACTGATCATCATCCAAGGAAAAGGAGAGCAACACAAGAAATGAAACACAATTGCCTGATTCTGACAGTGGATCTAGTTTAGCATACAAACAGGAAGTGGATAATTAGTCTCGAGAGGAAAATCAGCACACAGTAAGTGGGAAAGAAGGCCGATATTAGAGCAGCTGTCCTCAAATGGCAGGGCAGACACATTACAGACCTTTCTGGTGGCTGATGGAGATGTCCCCCCTGCCCTCAACATACTACTGCATCACTTGTATCTATGGTATGTATATATACATTTTGAAAAGCATCAATCATCTTGAAAAGTATACATGTACAAAGAGAAAGCATCAGCATTCTATGAAAACCTGAGGATTCAAAATAGCTACTATTATAGCCTCCATAAGCTGACAACCTGTGAACAGATAACTGCAGCTTGGTAAAAACCTGCTCAGTTTTGTGTGGCGTGAGGTAGCTCAGACTGACGCTATTAAATACCAGGCATTAGTGAGATATATACCACTGCATCTTGTATATTCCCCAGTGGTGAATAATGTTCTTGTCAATTATAGTATATTCTGTCAGCAGTGCTGCAGAGCCTTTCAGTAAGTCATACACCTTATCTTGGTATGCTGATGCTGTCATCCAGACAGCCACAAAAACAGGAACACACAAACATGTTTACACACGACATGCAGAGCATAAATGATACAGCAGGCAGACACAATGAACAGCACATGCAAAGTGTGTGACCCCCTCCTGTGTGCTCTCCACCACACTCACAGTTGGTTAGCTGTCAGTGCAGGTTGTTGGTTGGGTTGGGTATCAAACTCTGTGCTTTTTAAGGATGCAATACTAATGAAATTGGTACTATCAAGTTAGATTCACCTTAAATCTAGAGAATAGAGGAACAGAGAGAGCAGAATTCATGATGGAGACTACTGGATTGTTTTCACTCTCTATACGGAAGGAATAGTCAACATTCTTTAATATGCTAAATGGTGTATGATATTTTTTTTATTGTGTGTGAAACCTTGATATGGAACCATAGTACGCAAATTGCCAACCATTTACTACTGATATTATATTTTCGTGATTACAGAGAGTACAAAACCCAAGAAAGATGCCGTTCATTACAGGTACCGAAACCCAGGTATGTTGAAGTGTAACCTATCTCAGTCACATTATGCTTTAACACATTTAGCCTTCCATACACATCATTAACAGGCAAACTAAATGTTGCTGTAAAGAAGCGACTGTCCACCATGATTATATCCTATTATCACCTTGTCAATTACAATGATTCTGAGACCTGACTCACATCAGCGAAAAGAAAAAACGAGTCCAGAGACAAAAAAGGCCTGGAAAGTTGTTGCTTTGGAAACTCTAAAATGAAGATGCTGACAGGAAATCCTCCCTTGACAGCAATCAATGAATCTAAAGAAGGGCAACTAAGTCATCATTATTGATGAACAAGCATAGCCTCCACATACTGTAAAGTCAGATCTTCACATTCACAGACACGAGGAAAAGCAACAAATAACCACAAGAATCCAGAAAAAAAGTACTTTGTCACTTTGACTCAAAGCTCCAGAGACAATTATTTAACTGACATGTTTATGTAAATCCAACGGCATGATCTTGATACATTGTCAATCATTTCTAAGCTTCCCATTAACATCCTGCGACTAGTTGTTCTGCCAACACATGCTTATCATTTTTTTCTTTTGCTCTATATTTCTTTAAGCTTTGATGAATTTATTTATATTTATTTTCTACGTAAACATATGTCAGCATCATGCATATATGTCAGCATCAACAACGGACTATAATAAAACACCTGTCAAAAAAGCCCATCCCATCGCATTTCCCATCAGGATGTGTTAAGGCAGCCGCATTATAATAGGCAGGTGAAGAAAACACATATTACCAGAAAACCAATTATCACTTAGAAAGCTACATTTCAGCGAATAATAGGATGTTATAAAAAAGAATTCAACTAACAAAAATACAGAGGTAAAAAAATGAAAATAAAAACTATGCTGCAATAGATGCTGAATACTGAACATGAACAAAATAACTCCTCTGGGTCATTTTTAGGGCAAGTAGAAGCGAGCACGGAGAACTCCGCTCTGCAAGCAGAGAAGCAGTTTCTCACTCTGGAGATGAAGACAACACATAATAATGGGCCTAATGCTTCAGAGGAAGTCACTTGTCAAATAGGAAGCAGTCAGCCCTAGAAATATTGCTGTTACAGTAACTTGCACATAAACCGCTCAATCTCCTTGTTACGCAATACAATACAGCAACATATACACAGCGGGCAAAGAAAAGCATGTGTGGATGCTTAGGCCATACACAACATGGAGTAAAAAGGAAAAAACAACACTTCATCTTTATGAGTGAAGCCAATGCAGCTACATGACAACACCGTTCACAACAACTCTAACCGCCTCTAACAATTGACGTGCTGCATGGAGAAGCCATCAGGAGTAAACTAAAGGGTATAAAAGCAACATTGCTGGTTGCCAGGTAATTAAACCATAAATAATTGCAGGATTGATGCGACAGATTGCTTTGAAAACTGGATTAAAATGTAGTCACTTTCAACATCACTAATAGTGGACATTTACTTTATATGTGGAGCTTGAATACCACATTTTTTACACAACTTCTGGCAGTAAGCTGCAGCAGAGGTACTATTTATCATTACATTTGTCCCTCAAATCAATAGAGAAAGAAACTCTCCTAGTAGTCGACAAGTGGATAACACTTCTGCAAGGTATTAAACACAGAAAGTTACTCGACTTACAGGAAACAAAGATGTGAAGCATTTAGCGTAAATCTAAAATGTAGAGTACAAACAAAGAGCTTGATTGGTTGGTTATCTTGATACTACTACTGCTATAATAAAGTAACATCTCATTGGTGCTGGTATCATAACTCTGGCTGTTGCTTCTGTCACTCACATGATATAGCAGATTAGTCATTAATCATGGAGTTATTGATGCCCGTTACTTCTCTATTGCTAAGTCTTATCAGCCAGACTAATGGGGGGGGGGGGTTGAGGGTCATAAATGTGACTGATATTCCTTATAGGGCATCAACCGTCTGAGCAATCACTGCATTGTAAAACCGCCTGAGGCCTGAGCCAAACAAACATTACTTAATCATTTCTGACAGGGGACTGAGGAGTGTTGACAGCTGAGTAATTATTCACCTGACAAATATATCCTTCAACCTATAGAGGAGTTGCCACCCGGCATGAGAGATTCCAGATGCTTTTACTCATTGTCTGTTGATTTGAAGAAAAATAGCAAAACATGGTGGAGTTGAGTTTTACACTATAAATCAAAGATTCTCCTTTTTTAAAACTAGGCTATCTTGCAACCAAATAGACAAATGAATGCCTGCAAGTCCCTCAGCTGATGTGTTGGATCTGTTGGCATCCAATGACAACTGAAATGCTTTCATAGTTTTAAATCTGAGATGTTTTCAAAAGCTTCCACTGAGGGGAATACAGCAATACATGTGACGCAAGTGGGATCTTTTCAAATTGTCATTGTTATATCATCATCATCAGAGGTCTTCTCCATAACACGCTCTATGGTCTGTTTTATGAGACCCGTTTCGATTTGAATGATTTTCCAGCAGCATTTCCCAGCAATCAGAAATGTGTATGCCGGAATAACAGTAGAGACAAAGCAAAGGAAAATATTTTGTCATGGAGCACAACATGGCATATTTTGAAAAATGCTGTTTGGTTTTCAGTAAGTGTACTCACATTGATCGATGTTCCCGTCTGCTTTCCCCTTCTCCTGCAAACAGAGAGCACACACAAAAGTGGTTATTACAGGTTCGAGGAGTGAGACAAAAACAGCCATTTCTGCAGCTTTTCGCACACCATTCGTTACTGTGCCTTTGCTCTTTTCTCGGTTCAGAGAAAGACGACGACGGAAAACAAAAGGTGAATAGACAGAACGAGAGTGAAAAATTAAAGAACAGAGAGACAGAGAGGGTGTGACAGAGAATATATATGACGGAGTCAATTCAACCCTAATTGGAAATACACTTTAACAACAGGCTGCTAGATGGCAGTTGTCACTATATTGTGCTGGCATTTTAATCATGATGTCAAACAATTGACACCACAAAGATGATTTCATTTGTCAGTCCTCGCTGTGGTTGTGATATTGACATGCAGCTTTACATTTATCTTAATAAATGTCTTTCCAAATACTCTGTGTGGATGTGATTGGATGACATCCAAGTGAGGTATATCACAATTATCATTCAAAGTTAAACAAAAACATATTTGCTATATCAAAGATGGTCAGACTTAATCCACTGAAGTTAATGGGGAGACACCACACTGTACTGTATATTGGTGAAGATAATATGACTGGCTGTTAAGTAAATATGAAGAAATACATTGATTCATTTGTGGGATTTCAGCCACTTGTAATTATGCAAAGCATGGCTGCGGACTAGGGACGCCAATAAAAAACAGCTTTTATCTCAACTGATGCATTTGTGCGGACAGTATGGTCACTTCGGGGCCACAGCAGAGATTAAAACGGACTAACTGACAGAAGCCACAGACCACAATGCTCATAACTGTAATTGCAACAAAATATGTCAGGGAGAAAGACAGTATGATGAAGTTACAACCATGGAATCTCTTGGTACTAGGGTGGACAATATAAAAGTTACGGTATGTTTACCAATTTTCCACATTTTGGTCTGGACTTTGGTTTTTCCTTTTGTAAATGTTGTGTTAGCGGTGGCAGTATAATGTAATAGGTGTGTTCCTGAACACCATGTCCTACCCACTAACACAACATTGTGTGCTTGTTAGTTACTGATTATGTGTGCTTATTACAACACAGCGCTCTGCATACATGCATCTGAGCTTGAGACGCAATTTAACACAAACTGGCAAAACAAAGGATTGAAATGCTGTTTAAAAATAGCACAAAAGCAGGTCTTCTAATGCGACACAGCTCCTGGAGCAGCCAATATGTGGCAGCAATTGAAGTGTTTTGACATTTTGCATTCTTGTCCCTCAGTGTGGATGTCACTGGTAATGAGGCTCAGTGATAAAACATGTGTGAGTCTGCAAGGCCCTTTCAGCTTCCCAGGAGACTAAGAGCTTCAGGAAAAAACACAGCAGTTTTAGTGTCTCCTGTCACTGCCTCCTCCTTTGTCTCCACATCTCTATCCCTCTGTCTTTCTGCCATCTGTCCGTCTTAATTGCAGACGTGCTTCCTCATGATGGCAGGATAAAATTGAGTGTGCTCATCAGCAACGCCTTCCATCATCTGGAGAGCTGCTGTTTGATCAATTGATTCGAGAATCAAACCAAGCATAGAGGTGAAAGACAGGCTATGTGTTTCTTTCTAAAAATAATCATTTTTACCATGAATATTCAGGGCCCTTTTCCTTTATACATTCAGATTACGATGATTTTAAATAGTAATAATGAAAGGCAACTACAATCATGTCACTTGATAAGGTAAAGTAGATGCATTCAACATAGGATTGGGATGCAGATAGTATTTTTCTCCTTCAATGCATTGACACAGCAACATAAATATAAATAACTTTAACACCATCATTTCATTTTAGGGCAAACCCACTGTGTTTCAATTAGGTGGGATCTGCGTTTCTCTATCATAATCCCTCTTTGTGATAGAGGCTGATTAGATGGCTGTATTATTACATACAATCTAAATGCCCAGTGCAGTTAGGATTATGGGATAACATTATGATAACATTAGGGATGCTGAAAGATGCACAATAGCAGAGACAGGAGATGTAATATATACCGTCTAACCTCTTGAGCACGGGGCTGTTTTTGGTCGAATTACGCTTCATCTTCCTTCCTATGCCTCTTATGGCATAGTTCCTACATGTTCCCAGCATGTTCCCATTGTTATTTTCAGTGCATCTGAGGCTACTCTGACATGAGACATTTTAACGTGGAAAAAAGGGTTGAAGGGGATTTAGTTACCTTGAAGCAGCAAGTATGTGCACATTAGGAAAACATGTAATGAATACATAACACGTAAAGGGAAATGGAAGACCAAGTATTATCACCAGATGCCATGGCCTCTAACAAAAGGGTTTCATGATTTGTTAATATCATGATGTCGTTTTTTTAAAGTTTGTTTGTAGAGAAAACGGATGTCTTTATACATTGCATGTTAATTAAGTGTTGTTAAACGATTTGTAACATAAATGTCAGCCATCAGAAACTGATACTTGTATTGGCTGTGGAATAACTTGGACAGAGTTGACAGACCTATAGCTATCTGGTTTCACATACTTAAGAAGCACTTTAAAATAAACACCTTAAATGTCACGTTGGTTCAATGTTATTGATGTCAAGGCCTGTTTCAAGTTTGACTACTTTATTGGTTTCTGTAGCAGCAATCAATATAGATAGAGAAGAATACTCATTCAAAAAGATGTTTATAGCCTCTAGAACAAATCTCTTAGTGCTACATGCCTCCATCTTGGAAACCATAAACCCACACATAAAACAAGAATCTGACATTGCTGCCACAGAGACAGACATTTTGTAGGAATGCAATTTGAACAGCAGGGCAGTTCAAGTTGTGTCTAGTACAAAGTGTGCTTCAATATTTGTGTTCCCCCCGCTGCAATAGAGGCCCTCTTCATTCAAGGACCCATATGTTTATTTGTCTACACTTAGTTTCTCTGGTTTTTAATCCCAGTCAACATCAAAAGTCTCTGCTAAAATCAGCTGCCTGTATGCCAACATAGCATTGCAGTTTTACTACTTATAAGCAGTAGCTTTTCATAAGTTATTGTCTGATATGTGACGCTTATTGATTATTTGAACTTTATAAGATACTGCCCGATTAGGATGAACAGGCAGCTAGAGAAGCAGGAAAGTAAAGCTGAGTCCATCAGTGTCTGTGTTTTCACAACAGCCTTTCTACATTCAATAATATGTGTTCCCTGATGTCTGTTACTTAGGAAAAAAGGCTTTCTTATCTAGAGTAATCCATCAGTGCACCAACAAACTACTTAATGAGCTGAACGAATAGGAGCCAAAAGAAGAAGGAAAAAAACGTTGGCAATGTATGTGAGTGGCAATACCTTCAAAGGCTTAACTTTGATTTATCTGAAAATAGAATTAAAACCCAAGACATTCCAGCTATTTCCCTGCATCAAATAATGATGTAAGGGAACATTATTTCCAGCAATGTTCACTGGCACGATCTGTCCTCTAAACATCTTCATTTATTTTAAATTGTCCCCAGCTTCGCTAACTTACTCTTTTTATATGCTACTGAGATACAGCACTTGTTCGATCAATGTTCAACCAGCACACATGAAGAAAAAAAAGAGCAAATAGAATACATGTTCTTTTCATTGCTGTTTACATTTCTATCAAAATGATGGAAGCTCAATGCCTATACAAAGAAGTACTTTACACCGTTTCTCATTGTTTTTGTTTCTTATTTAAAGTGAACCTATCATGCTATATTTGAATAATATAGTGTAGGACCATAAGTCATATTTTTTTTTTCAAAATACCAAACAGATCATGCATTTTAGCCATGCCTCATTTCGCTCAATTTTACATTTTTTAGCTCTGTTTTTGCAAGGGCAGATTCTGTAAGAACAGCACCATCTACAGGCCTGGCATATGTACTACAGCGTCTCCAGCGCTTTCGAACGGCAATGGCCGTGGCTGTCTCCTCCTGATTGGTGAAGTTGGCCCAATAGCCGTAGCGCCACCGTCCTGACGTCAGGACAGTGTTCAAATCTGGATCAGTTTTTATCAGATCCGTTGCAGCCCCTTTTTTAGAGATTTGGGTATGGAGGAAAATAGAGAGGGTTGTGTTTTCTGACACTTGGTGAGTTCCCTGGAACACCGGGGACACATATTCATGTATAAAAGACGTACAAAAGTGCATTTTGCATGATAGGTCCCCTTTAAGGATTCAACACTTATATTTCACTTAATTTAAGAATATATTCAAACATCACATGTTGTACTCCCTTAGCTAGTATGCACAAGTTATTTGAATGGCTCCTAGCTGTGTTAAACCCCTAGTATACACTTTCACTCAGTAGAATAAAGCATGTTCTGAAACGGGCCAGAGGGTGCTGAGAAAAGAAGGTATCCCCTACCACACTATAATTAAAGCAGAGAAAGGAGTATTATTCTTCATATTTTCTTCAGCTTTGAATACAAGCTCTCAAGAGACAGCTCTGAAAAAACCCTCTGGGACCGCAACAAAAACTAAAGCTATGTACAAGTCATAATCAAAATGTAAATGTAGTAGGGGGTAGCCCCACTACTGGAAATAAAAACACAACAGAAAAACATGCGTTCATGGAGAGAATACTTTTTTCATTATTTTCCTTTTTCATTGTTCCTGCGTTTATTCTTGATTCATTCAATCCATAAACCTATTACTCCTAAACCCTTCATCCACTGAACACATTTCCGCCTTTCTCTGCGTTACAGCAAAACCACTTTACTGCTCCACTATTTTCCCGCTTCATATGGACCACTCCCGAGCCAAATTACAATCTTACCGTCAAATAAGCAGTCTATAAAAAGTCCTATATGTTCATCAGTGTTGCGTTCAGAATGCTGTGACATTTCTCATTACCAAAACAAGAATCCTGAACCAACAGCTATACTGCCCCATCACAGTGACACGTTAAGAGAGTGGTCAGATGAAGCATTTGGTATTTTTTGTGCACTGTTTAGTTAAAAAAAGAGATGAATTATTGCAAATAGTCAACATTAAACTGTGTCTTTCAATCTAAGCCCTAATTGTATCAAAGCTGACACCAATACAGTATTAATTGTGCATTACAGAGATCTTGGTTTCTCTGAAGGTATCCAGGAAGCTGACAAGAGTAAAAATCAAAGGCTTTCATCTGGACTTTTTTCTTAATTTCACACTCTTCTGTTTTTGTCTGTTACCCTGCTAAGATGTCTTATTGTCCCTCTGTCTTCATGTTCTTTTGGGGGGGGTTTTCAGGGTTGGGGTATATATAAAGAAAATGAAAATCTGGCATAACTTACACATCACTAAAGGCTTTAAAAATGCATCCTGCATAATCATGTGAAGGCACAAATTCGGAAGATTCTCCCCAGGGTCGACTTTAATTTCTGGTGCCAATTGAGAGCTTTTGAAGTTTCAATTCTGGCCAGATAGACAGAGGGAGGAATGCCTGAGAATTTCTTTTCTTTTTTGAGTCAAGGGAATTCAAGGGACACAACCACCAGGGCAAAATTACATTCCCCTTCCTGCTGCCAACTTGGCAAAACCCAAGACCCAGACATAGAACAAACCAGGGGGTGTACATGCTTCATTTCACGAAGAACTAGGACGACCGCGGGCTGTGTGGTGCTGTATGTGTCTGTCTGTGCGTATGTCTTTCTGACAACCTGTTAGGGCTGTATGTGTCTGTTATGCAGAGAACATTTGTTTAAGGCTTAATTCTTGTTGGCAAGGACCTGCTTGCTCAAAGGGCAAGTCATTTTCCCTCTCTTTAGCCTGGGAATCTCTAGTGTGCAATCAGGATAAATGCAACCAGGCAAGCTCATGAGTGTTTAGGCAATTATCCTTTCACTGTTGCGTATCGATAAACAAACAGAGCTGGGTTTTAAAAAGGAAATACACAAAACAAGAAGTTGAAGTAAAGCTACTTGCTTGTTGTTGTACTAATTAACAAAAGTACAATAAAGTTCACATTAAACACAGGCACCAACCTGCTACACTTTAGCTGCAACATTTAGCAACAAATGAGTTTTGTTCGACTGCTTCACTTCATTTTCCTCACCACTCTGATTTGCTTTATGGTTGATATGATTGATTTATATGTCTGTAAAGTGTTTCTCTAGCTTGATAGAGAGTGAAGGTGATGTCCTCCTTCGGTAGCAGTTTAATGTGTGTGCATGCGTGTGTGTCTGTGAGTTTGGACAGGATATTTACCATGGAGTTTGGTTCCTGGGAGGAGGTACGTGGCATTGTAGCTGAATGAACGCTGCCTCTCCTGCTGGTCTTGAGGCCTTCAGCCAGCCAGCACCCTGAGGTGGCCAGCAGAGCGGCCACAGCCCAAACACACAGGCTACCCATGAGTGCCTACCTGTATGGAAAAGTACAAAAACAAGGCACACAACATTTAGACTCAATTATGTGGTAGATAATGCAGTTTCTATTGATAAAACAAGTGACAAGTCATTTTCGTATTCATAACACATCATCGTATTTATGTTCTGTTATCAATATAAAATGTGTATTGGTTAATTTAGTGAATAAACCATTTTAAAGATGTGTCTGATCTGTGATTTTATTCTTTCCTTATACTATTTGTATGCAAATTAACGAATGACTGGTGATATAATTGTGGGTTTAACACCTTGTTTTCAAGCAGGCAAAATGAGCATCATTGTGTTTTCTAGGGAGATAATAAAGACTGATGATCCAAACTCACTTTCAAATCAACTCGTGTTTAGTAGTGTATGTGATCTTATTTTTTTTATGTGCAATAAAATAGATACAAATGTTGCATGAATGTCTGCAGGGTAAGTGAGACAGAGGAGAACACATTTCAGAGTTAAAAGCGTCTTGAATCCAGGCAAGACATGACGAAAGAAAATATGTTATGCCATAAAGAAGGCAGATATTTACAGGCTAAAATATAATACCAATAATAACTCAATAAAGCTGTGTTGAATAGCATCTATTACTGATATTGTGTCATTTTCCAAGGCTTCTTTGAAATCCTGTGATATCCAGCTCTGTATTTCAGACACCCGATGTTATGTTCATTCACACACGGTTACACACAATGGATAACATATTGTACACTCACACAAACTGAGCACACACACAAGCACATGAACACACAGCATAATACGGCTACGTGAGCATCAAAGCCCACACTGATATAGATAATTATCTGTATTACAAAGGACACAGAAAATCTTTTGATGTCAACAAAGAGACAACCCTCTGAAGTCGCAAATGGGGGAGTGGGTATGAATTCAGCAGATCAATTTCACTGCTGTGACACAGGGACCCTGACACACACACACACACACACAACACATTGAAATCTTCAGAAAAAAAATAATATATACATCCCAACTGTTCTGATAAAAGCACCTGAATAAAAGCTGTAGCGAAACATTATTTTCAGGTAATGCCTTGTTCCTCTGGTGAATAATATTGAAAATGGCAAGCATGCATTTAACGATTAAATGTTAAAATGTGTTTAATGGTACTACTCTGGAGGACCCATAAGCTCAAGGGTGAATAAACCAGACAGCTATTCATTTCAGCTGCAATAAGATCACTAACTCATGTTCATAGGGGAATAAAGTAATAATAATATGACAACCTCTCATTAAAGCGCAACCCAATACACCAAGAACACAAACTACAGACACATTAAATAGTAGAGTAGCAACAAATAATGAAATCATATCTGCTTTCCCAAACATTATTTATTGCAGGGATATTGTCCTTGGTTTGTGCTGCATTGCACTGGTTTGTTTTGTATCGTGTTTACATCGTTCAGAAAAGACTTGATAAGAAATATTTATTGGACTCCATCAAAGCACAAACTTCTGTTGTGTCTAATCAGCTGATGCGGGTCGTTGTGTGACACAGCAGTTTGTTATGTGTGTGTTTTTGCACTTTAGAGTAATGTGTTTATTGTTTTTATCGTGGTCTTAAACTTTATTATGAGATTTTATTTTGTATTTTACAGCATCGCCAGTCTGAAAACAAATGTCCCTTAGGCGGCCATAAAGTGTGCAATTGAACTGAAAGAAGGGCACAAAAACATGTGATGCATCTCAAACAGCGCAGGGGTTTGTGGTGTTATGTGTCTGCAGCATCTCCTCACTAGAATATTTAATATTGAAAGGGTGTTGTGATTCACCTTGAGCCGCTGGCTGCAAATGTGTTTTCTGCTTTACATATCAATTTTTGCATTTTTTGCAATAAAGAAATAAACACATATTTTGAAACATATCATCATATTAATACACTGATAAGATGAGACACTTTGCAACTGTAATGAACAGTATTTGTCAAAGAGATAATCATCTTTTTCTTTACAATATCACAATGTAAAAAACATAGAAATAGAATGAGAGTAGAAGAGACATTCCCATTCATATCATATGTCATCATGTGTCATCATTTATCATATAATCAATGTGCTCCACTATTTTCAACGGCTAGTCACCTCCTTTTTCATAAGAGCTTTTTCATTGAAAACCTCTGGCTGCATGTGTAAATGAGCTTAATAAAAGCATAGATTTGAGCAAGAAAACCGACATTGATCCAAAATACGAGAAAGTGGATGCAGGAGGAATTGCCCCTGTCGTTATGAGTATCATTATGTGTGATCATTTGTATATTGATTATTAGAGTATGTATGACCCAACTCCTACAGTCCATTTACTCAAATGGTTCGACTATCTCTCGCAGTCCTTTTGAGGAAACTGAAGCTGGCCTAGATGTCAAACTTTGAGATGTGTTTGAAAGCTCAGGAAAAAAGCTAGTAAGTGGACTCGTAAGTAAACATTTTCTTGTTACACATACCAATTGGACAAGAATTAATTCAGTATGTTTCTGAAATTATAATCTGCAAAATAATGAGAAGTGTCAAATAAGTGCTGTTTGTCTAAAACATCATGGAACATCATTTAGCAAAAACTAAATTTCCCCTAGAAATCACCATTATTATATTATTTAGCTATATCTTCTTTGCACCACTGCTAACCATAGGAAATAAAGTCCTTTCAGTGTTTACATCATTCGGCAAGGAACCACCAACATCCTTCAGCTAGCTAGCCGGAGGCTACGGGCCCTCACAGATGAAAGCTCTCTCTTGTTAAATTAAACACCAAATGAGATCTGCCAGTCACTGTCTTAATGTGTGGCCTGGCCTCCTGGCGTTGGTCTACACACAGCTCAACACACTTTGTTCATTTGTACACACACAAACACACAAACAGAGCCCTGGGGGTGTGGATTGTATGGTCCATTTTTAAATTCATCAGGAGGGAGAAAGTCTATGAGGAAGCCATTATTCGACCAGCATATTAAAAAGCTCAAAGAGACAGAGTGTCCCTTTTGGCAGCTTTAGTCAGATCAGACTGTTTCAATGTACTTGTATTACAAAAAGACTCAATATGCCAACAATTAAATATAATCTATTCACATCCAAGCTACCTTCAAGCCCTATCTCCACTTTGTCATGTTTCTTTCTTTCAGAACTTCACATTTAAAGGGCACAAAAGTACTGTTGGGCACTGAAGAGTCCTGCAGAGCGACCTGCAGCTGCTTCCAGTCGCTTACTTTCTGGAAGTTAATTTCATTCTCATTTTCTTTATATGTCTTGCAGGTAAAGTGGAGAGTGCTTTTTAAATTATAACCTGAGCCACGTAATTAAATGAATCACAAGCTTGTAATAAAAGGTTTAAAAATGAAAAGGTGAGAATACAAAACAGGAGGAAATGAACATGACGTACAGAATTGTGAGGGACTGACTTGATATACATACTGTATAAACTGTAAGTATTGTATTGTGTTGTGTCCAATAGGGAATAACAAATGATAACTTGTAGACCGTACCACATTTTGACTTTCATTGGTTGTTTGGGTTGCTGACAATCCAGGAATTGAAGATCTATTCTATATATTTAAACATAATGAAACTAAAGGAAGAAGTCAGCTTAATGCCTGAAATGTGCAGCGCTCAGGTTCAGTAAAGCACCATCTGCTCACCATCACGTTTTAAGATGAGGCATTTGGATCAAGGTGACATCTCACAAGCCTTTCAGACGCATCAGCGACATTCAGACTTGTTTCTAGGTCGAGGTAAAATATTAATTTTCACCCACTGTTTAATTTTGAATGACTGCAAAGGTTTCTTAATGAATGCATGGATAGGCACATGGAGGCACACACACAAACACAGAAACATTGACATGATCATTCCTCATGGCAGGAGTCTGGTCTCATGAAGATATGGGATTGTTAAAGATGTGAAATGTCTCAATCCTGCATGAGAGCATTTGAATGTTTGAAATAGGTTTCATCATGATTGAGTTTCCTTTCAATATTTCTTAATGAATCGTAATGTGTGAGAGACTATTCAAGAGGCTAATGTGAGTATATGAGTTGACTTTAGATTTAAGTTGGTATTCTGCATTTAAACAATAGAAATACCTTATCTATGTTTTTCTAACAGCTCAAAGTTACTTTGTGTTAAGTTGTTGACCAAACAATACACCAGTAAAAAAAAAATGTTATCTCACTATTCTTTAAAATGGTTTAATGATTATATTGTACTATGCTTAGACAATAATAATCTAATGTATAGCTTCACCCCACTTTTCTTTGCCACAGTCAAAACTTCTTCATCCGGCAGTTTTCTCACTTCAAAAATGAATTGCTCTTTACTTGGCCAAAAAACAACTTATTTGAATTTGACTATACAGTAAATACGAGATTTGGTGAACTAAAATGTGAGGCTCCTATCAAAGTATGATTACACACATCTAGACTAAATTGGAACAAATGTTGAACCTGAGCCTGGGGGAGTAAATCTGGCTTTTGGTAGAAAATGATAATTGCGTGATTATGTGACCATTTCTATAACTTCTAACACAGACAACACAAAAGCCCTTTCTTCCTCTGTGTGAAAAAGTACAAAACATCTGGCTCTGCTCTGAAGAGAACAAACAAACTGTCAGGCTGCGGATAATGGTGATATGTGTTGGCAATATCATGTATGGATCCTAGAGAACATAATGTTCCCCTGCAGTGATGTTGACTAATGTTTCCGGTTTCTTTTGTGGAAAGCATTTTTTACTATTTTCAATGTTTAACTAGGGTGTATTTTCAACTTATCTTTTGATAAACTGATCATAAATCTATGGACCAGATTCACCTTGCAAAAAAAAAACATAGTCGGGATTCAGCCGAACAATGAAGGCATTCACTTTTGAAAGCATTTATCATAACCTGAATTCTTCACGATACAATCTAACCACAATTGGAAGAAGTCTCTGTTTGTATGTACTACTGTATGTTTGTATGGAAGTGAAGTGTTGAGTGGGAAGT